ATCTCATTAGCGACAACGGCCGCCAATTCGTAAGTTAGTATTTCTAAAACTTCTTGGCCACGATCGGGACGACTCACGTCCGGTCGTCGGTGGCTTACCCGCAGGGGAATGGTCAAGTGGAGAACGCTAACCGGACGATTTCGAAAGGTCTAAGAAAGAAGCTGCACTCGGCTGGTCGTAGTTGGGCCGATGAGTTGCCATATGTGTTGTGGACTTATCGGACGACCCCGAGGGAGGCTACTTTGGAGACCCCTTTCGCCCTGGTTTATGGAGCGGAAGCCCGACTCCCGATCGAGGCTTGGATCCCGACCGATCGAGAAAGAACCTACAATGCGGAGGAGAACGAACTTGCGATGGTCGTGGATCTCGATGGGGTCGAGGAAAGGAGAGAGTTAGCCGCTCGGCGGATGGCCGAGTATCAGAAGCGAGTCAAGAGTTCAAAGGACGTCCGGGTCAACCCTCATTATTTTCAGGTGGGAGATTACGTTTTACGACGAAGGGAGGCCAGTCAACCTTTGGAGGGCGGAAAGCTAGCTCAAAATTGGGAAGGGTCGTACATCATCAGTGCTATTATACGGCCGGGTACATACCGACTGGAGACAACGACCGGTCGAGTAATCGAGGGGACTTGGAATTCCGAGCACCTCGTTATGTTTAGGCATTAGCCTATTTTTTGTAATCTTTGGACGAAGTGGGGGCTCGACCTGTGAGTTAGTCCCGGTCGTCAGTTGTAATTAAATTTATGGTTGTAAATATTTATTCAACCGCCTGCGTGCGGGAGGTTTTAATGTATATACGATCGGTGATTGCTCGACCGTTTGCATACGGCGGCCCAGTCGGTTATTTTCTTTACCTACATTGCATGCAGTTTAATTCATCGTAAAGATACATCGACCGAGCGACCCTATCGACCGGTCAAATGCGCTCCTCTTCGACGGACATTCGAGTCACGCCACTGATCGGGGAAGCTAGGAGCTCTCAGCATAATTCCCCGATCCACTCAACTTCTTTACAGTATCGCACTCACTCGTGCCTCGAGAGCACAATAGTGTGGGGGCTGGGACAAGGAAGTATCTATAGGCCCGTCGCTCGGGAAAAACCCGACCGTGGGGGCTTACCCATTTTCAAAAATTTCGTCAAGGCCTGGAGATCGGGTTGGCCAGTATGATGTTGAAATTTCAGATGCACGACCGGGCCTTAAGCCCATAAGGTCGGGTGTCAAACGAATTCGATTGCTGCATGACCGGGCCAAAAGGCCATGAGGTCGAGCAGTTAGGGTCGGCGCATGTATGGCTAAAAGTTAAAAACGCGAAAAGAAAGACGAACGGCACAAGTTAAACAAAATACAAGTTTTATTGATTGAAAAGAGTGCCTGGTACAAATTCGGGACCGGGCTCCCGATTAAGATCATTACAGAATAACGGAGCCATAACTACTTCTTCGTCTCCTTCGCTTCATCCCTCTTAGAAGTACCCGCCTCGCTCGGGGTGGTTCCCGTTGACGCAGTCGGGTTGGCCGTAGTCTCCTTTGAGGCAAAGGGGGAAGGACCGGGATCAGCGAAATCGGGAGGGAGTGCAGACAGTACGAGTTGGAGGTCGTCTCCTTCGAGAGCTTGCCCCAATCGCTTCTGAGCTTTCTCAAGCATCTTCCTTTGGCCGGCCTTGAAGGCCCACCGACCAAAGGATAAAATTAGATCCTCCCCGATCTTAGTCCGTCGAGCGGCTGTGAGGAAGGCTGAGCCTATTTTGTCATCCTTAAAAGCTGACTGGGCCAGCTCGTCCGGATTCTCCAGTTGGGTTTTCAATTCCTTGTTTTCCCTGATCGCCCGTTGGGCGACCTTCTCCGCCAGGACCCGGTCCTCTTCACTCTTCTTCAAGGCCTTCTGGACCTTCTCCAGCTCGGCCTGGATGTCCTTAACCTCCTGAAGACGTCGAGCAGCCATCTTCTTGTGACGGTCGACCTCCTCGGCTAGCATTGCCCGACCTTGTAAAAGTTGAGCCGCTCGGGAGATCTGCAATGAAAAAAATGTTTATAATCAGCTCGATCAGAAGCACTTGCATAAAGTTTAGAAGAAGAAGGTGCTTACCTCGGCCAGGTCGTGGCCAATCCGTTCAGCCACTTGAGTTGGGGTCATCTTCCCCAGATCTTCTTTAACTGGCCCGGCGTTGCTGATACGGGCCAGTATGGACGACTTGTCCTTGTTTCGCCCGGTCGATGGGCTCGGGCTGTGCTGTTCTCGGCGGCGTTTGATACCGCCCACCTCAGTTACGCCCCGTTCCGGCGCTTTTTCTTTGCCCCGGGCGACTTCCACCCGGGTAATCAGTACGTCGCTCGGCTCGACTACAAAGTCCTCGGTCGTCGTGATGGTCGAGGTCCCCAGGGGTCGGGCCACCGGAACTTCCTTTTGCCCGGTTGGTTTCGCCTTCGGTTTTTTCTTACCGCCAAGGGAAATCTTGGCGGGTGGAGGAAGGGAAGTGTCGTCATCTCCGAATTCGGCCATTTCTGCCAAAAAGAAAATAAACAGTTAGGTTGGGAAGATAAAGAGCAGTCGGGATATTGAGGGTCGGGGAAAGTAATTAGCCTCGAACCTTTACCCTTCCTCTTGCCCGAAGCGGGCATCCTTGCAATTGTTACACCCGCCGGCTCGGGTTTGTATGAATTTTCGGCCAGGTCGTAAACCGGGTCGGGAAGCTGGGCCGCTTCGTAGCACTCGGGCGATTTGAAGATGCGATACTCGTAAATCTCGCTCGAGATCTTGGTCACAGCATCTATGAGGGCCTGGGTCTCGACTGGGATGACTTGCCTTCGAAAATGTTGGCTCCAGACCCTCTCGATCGGGAGGATCCACGGATCATATTTTACCGAAAAGATCCGGTTTTTCCACCCCCGGTTGTTCCCGGGCAGCCCCTCAATCGAGCACTTATCTGCTCGGGACTGCGTCATCAGGAATCCACCCCCGTATGCGGCTGCCAGCACCTTCACTTGGTAGACGAAGTTGAAGAGCTCCATGGTGCAGGCTAAGTTGTGCCGATTACAAATTTGGGGGAAGCACGCAATCATCCGATGCGCGTTCGGGCAGATCTGACCGGGTACGACCTGGTAGTAACCCAGGAATGCGGTGAGGAGGCTAGAAAAGGGGAACGAGATCGGGGCCATTAACGAATCGTAATGCATCTCGAGCCACTTCCCCCGGTGCCGCTCGATGATATTCCCGAGCTGCCTGCCGGTGTCGAATTCGACCCGACCGGCGAGAGTTGCCACGATTCTGCTTGCTTCCCCTTTCGTCAGCAGGCTCATCTGGCCTTCGACGCTCTCGCTGTTGAGGAATTCAAACCCGTCCCCGCTTGGTGCCGCGAGCCCGGCCGGGTCTTCCTCGACCGCTTTCGCTTCGTTTGCCCGGTGTCCCACCTCGGGCTCAACCTGAGGGTAATCCCCTATTACCCTCGTAGGCGTTTCCCTAACGCCTTCATCCGGGGAATTTCGTCCGCTCGTGGACGTCTCATTGCTCCCCGACCCGCTGGAGCTCGACCCCGATGTCCCCGACGAGCTCGATGGCCCTTCTGGCTCGGGGGCTCGGTCGGGTATGTGCTGTGGTCGTTGCTCGACCTCTGGAGAGTAAGACATGATGTCCACCTCCTCGCTGCTCTGCACGATCATGTTGTCGTAGTCTGCGACTGAAGCGTTCTGGCTATCCGAATCCGACATGTTTTTCTACCTAAAGGTTGGTCGGGGGTTAGTACAGGGTTCGGGAAGTTAGATCGGAGTTAGTTCTACCCTACTCCTACACAAAGCTAAAAACAAAGCAAGAGTTAAAAGAGTAGAGACGTTACCGATCGAAGAAACTTGGCTGAAATTTGTAGATGAGTTGCTCGGTTGGTCTGCTGAATAGCTCGCTCGGGACTCTTTAAGGGTGCCGATTGGATCAGAAGATTGAGGAAAGTTCAAATGAAGGCCTCAAGGGCCTATTTATAGGAGAGCATTTGGGCGGGAAACCAATCCACTTGCGCGATGTGACCCGCACTGACTCCGAGGCGACCGTTGCAGTCGTAGATGCCGGCAGTCGCCGACACGTGGCAAGAAGAGGAATGACAGCTGGCCGGTCGGTTGGGTAGCCGACGGTTGGGCTTCTTCATCCCGTCCCGTTTTTTCCCGGACGGTCAAAAAGGCCCGAGCTGGGGGGCTTTTGGTAGGGAATATCCCGACCGACATAGCTTTACCCCGACCGAGCTGCCTTTGTCTTTGCAGATAACAGGTCGGGCTTCATGTGAAGAACTCGGTCGGGGTCCGACCGGGAGTTGCCCGAGCGATAGTGTCGACCACTGAGCAGTAGCCCTTTGGCGAGAGAGCTGACAAAGGACACGTGGCGGCTCCTTGCAATGACAAACAGGGCACCCGGGAGGGTGACACGTGGTGGCTACGTGGAGAGCATGCCGAACGACCGGATTTGTGTCTCCGGTGCAGCGGCTATAAATACCTACAGTAACTACAGTGTAGGGGACTTGTGGACGATCGATAGGTTGTTACTAGAGAATCCCGACCGCAGTCAGTCGGCACTCAGAGCAACCAAGTAGATTGTACTTAGGGTATTTACCGTGATCAATAAAGATATTTACTTGCTTTAATTGGTCTCGGGTATTATTTAAATATTGCTTACGTAGAATTAGCAGTATCACCATGATAATGCTAGAACACGGAGATGTTTTGAGAAAAAGACTAAAAGTGGAATGATACATATAAATATAGGACAAAAAAAAAACTTAATACTTAAAATTAAATACACTAAAATGTCATTATATTTAATGGCATATAAAATGATTTTGTTATCGGATGACCAAAAATGATCCTACTACAATAATATTAATATTTTAAAAACAAATACCAAAAATAAATTGACACATATGAATCTAAGAAACAAATAATGAAATTAACTCTTAACTGTTATTATTATTATTGACACATTTAGAACGCCCCGAGTCAAATAACACAAATCAGACAATTTAAAAAAGCGCGCTTACCTCTTTATGTTTGACATCACTCCTTCCCTCTCTGTTCAATGGAGGCTTCCAAAGTTCTAACGGTGTCTCCGCCAGACGTTCAAATGGCTCCGACTTCGGACATCGATTCTCAGCTCAACTCCATCGTCTCAGGTAATCTCTCTCACTCTCTCTTAATCTATACACGCACTTGTAAGCCCTCCATTTATGCTTCAATCAGCGATTAACGATGTTGCTTGAAGTAAACATGTACCCAACAAGCTTTATTCCTAACAGTAAGCTAAAAATCTCCGTTATAAGTGTTTCGAATTCTCATCTTTTTTTTTTTTTTTTGTTTCTCCATCGTGTATGTGTAGCCTTTTCAATTCGAGCGATGATGTGCTCAATTAAGCTGTGATATTTTATTAATCACATTTTATCGGAGGATTTTATAGAATGTATTATTCTAGCTGCTATTTGATTGATAATTCGGTATCTAAAATTTAGGTTTTCTTTTTTGATTGGAATATTTTCCCTAACTTATGCCTACTGCATTATAATCTTTATTTTGTATTTTATTATTAAACTTTTAGCCTTGTACATTGATACATTTTGAGCATTCGGTTGAATAATTTGTATTGGATTTAGTTTCCTCTCGAAGTTATAGGTCATATTTTTGAGTTTTCGCGTACGTAATTCATAATTCTGTGTTCTTTCAGGGTTTCTTCCGTGTTTTTTTTTTTTTTTTTTTTTAAATATTTATTTTATTTTAAATTACCTCTGTGATATGAGAAATCAATAGATGTCATAGTAACCTTTTTGTGGTCGCTCAAATTAGTGTGTTATTGGCTGTGTCAATTTGATAATTGTGCAGATTCCCTCAACTGAGAGCTTACTTCTTATGTTAAAACAAATATTAAAAACAAATCTCATTAGGCTGTTTACTATCTATTTTGGTCATGTAGAAGCCGAACTATTTTGATCAGTCACCATTGAAGTATTGATGCCTAGTGTCATTGATAGCCTCTAGTTTTGCTTGTCATTCAAAACCTGGGAAATCGATTGTGGTGAATTTTCTAAAGACTTGTTATGTATCATTAATGGAATAACCAGGTAAAAAGGTGCTAAGATGGAGGGAAGTGTTCTAGATATTATGCAATCATCACTTTTTGCCCTGGTCTTGGCACTTCACTGTGGCATAATTCACCTGTCCTTTTCTCATTAATGTAAAATTAATAACTTTTAGTTACTGGCAGGCCTTGAGTTTTATGTTTTGTAGCTCAAATTAATTAATAGTGGAGATTACTTATAACTTTGATAGTTGGCAGCCTCTGTTCTTCTATGCAGGCTTTTAATAATGTAGTGTTTTTTGTGTTCTGTATTTTTGACAATGATATTTTGAATGTTATAAACCTGCAGATCTCTCACAACATGTGCAAGTTGTAATGGAGAACATGGTCAAGATGATAAAGTGAGCTGCCTCCACTATTAATATTGGTTCTGTTTGTTGGAACACAGAAACAGAAACAAAACAAAATGTTTAAATGAAAGTGATGGGTTTGAAAGTTCACCGGTGTCCCTCTTACATGTGCTGCACTGTATCTCCATAGTTCTCCAGCATCATGTTGTTCTATAATTGGCATTCTCTAGACATTAAATACTTATGCTGACTTTCTTTTTAGTTTTTGTGATTGAGTGCTATTCTAGTCTTGATTATGTATTTCACTTTTCTTAACTCTAAATTACTTATTCCTCACTTGTCCTGATTTAGTCAACACTATTTCTTCTTTGGCTTATCACTTATCTTCTTGTGTGCCTACTACAGGGAAATCGACCAGAACTCAACTGACATAGTGGAAGATATAGAAAAGTGCAAAGACACTGCTCTTGAGAGGAAGAGAAGTTTAGAAGAACAGAGGGAGCATTTTCAGAAAGCTGCTTATGCTGTTCTAAACATGCTGAATAATGAAGAGATCAGCTGATGCTGTAAGTTTTAGCCAACTTATATTTTTAGTCTGGATGATTGATAGTAGGACATATACTTAACAATTTGACGTTGCTAGTGCTACATGTAAACCACATGGAAATTATGTTCAGGGCAAACAAATTTTCTCTAATTCTTGACTTTCTGACTCCTAATAGTTGGCTCAAGTGTTGTTTGCTTATATTTTTTCTAAAATAGAATGTAAAGAATAGAGGAATTTATCATTGTCCACGAAAAACTTGGCCTCTGAAATTTTACTCCCTTCAGGACTCATATTGTTGTGTAGTTTCAAGAATATTGATGGCCAGAAGACCACTCTCTTTTATAGCTTGACCTTCTAGTTTCTATGCATCTAGTGACTTTGCTGCTAGAACTACAACTTTTATCAGGGAGTTTTGGGCACTTTAATTGTTTCAAGAAATACATGAATGATCATTACATTTTCTTGTAATGCACTTAAAGCCACTTATGCAGTGAGGACAATAGTTCCTCTTCTTCCCAAATTTTCTTTTCTGGGAAATATCCACACCTACCAGACCACATATAATATGTTATTTGATGTGGCCATATAATGGTTGTTTCTCTACTATGCCATTCTGATATTTAGTTTATGCATAATTCACAAATACATGTAAGCACAGACAAACTTAACTTGATGCTTAAATCTATTTAGCACTAGCAACTATTATTAATAATATTATTATTATTTTAATTTTATTTTTCTTTATTACCTGAGCAGATTTGTGTGACCTGTGACCTGTGACCTGTGACCAGACCTACCTTTTTGTTCTGGACTGATTTGCTGTTTCTTGAAATGTGACTGAGCAGCATAGGCCAACTGTGTAAAGAAGATGTAAAGTTGTTAAGTAGTGTTTCCTTGTTGATATTCTATGAGTGTAATGTTCATGGCTTCGACTTTAAACTTTCCACTTATTACATAGTGCTTTAGATCTTAAGTCCATGGTGTTGAGTAGCAGTAAAAAGGCCTGCTATACAAAACAGTTTGGGATTTTGAATGTTAGAGTAAAAGATGTAGTGATTGAACAAAGAGCTAAAATGCAAGGTCTTGGAAAGTATTGGTCTAACATTTAAAAAAACAATTGAATATGAAGTTCAGTTTTTAAACAGCTTCACATATTCTTGTAATTTGAAATTAAATTATAACTTTGCATCTTGGGTGCTATTTTAATGAAATTTGAGCCTTATAATGGGGCGTTTCACGTTTGGTTGCAAGGAGGGAATTATGAAGAATAGAATTGCGCACACATTCACATTGAAATGCACATATACACCATTAGCAAGGAAAGCAAGAATAAAAAATTCAGTAAATTCACATACTTGACTAGTGTACAAACACATAATTAGATACAAATAACACTACAAACAAATGCATATGTATATGTACTATAGTGTACACATGTCACACTTATACATTGCATTGTATACACGTTCACATTAAAATACACATATACATCATGCATCACCACTACCAATAAGGAAGACAGATCAAAAACCCTAATTGATTGACATACGTGATTAGTGCATAAATACATCATTAAATACAAATAATATCACAGGTAAATGCGTACGCATATGTATAATACTACACACACGCCAAGTTTACAATGCACTCACAAATCACATGAACACAAAGTGCACACTAGTCCACTACAAGGTGCATACATATGATGATAATCTAGCCGAGAGAAACCAACCGTGCAAATGCATACCTACGGAGGCCACAATGCACACTAGTACATTGCCTGTGAAAATTATACATATGTCAATCACAAATATAGATAATATTATACTCAAAAGGTATATAATTAAAAAAACACAAAAATCAATTTGATTCCATGGCTGAAAAAAAAAAACATAGAAGAAGAAAAACTCAAAATAAGATAGAAAAAGAACCTCACACAAAGGAGAGTACATTAGTAAGAAAATCTTAATTTATAATAAATTCAACTCTTAAAATCAAGCATAAAAGATTTAACATCGGTGTATAATTATTCCAACCTTCAAAACACAAACCAAAATTAATAAAGCACTCCTATGTAAATAAAATGGTGAATAAATTTGAAAAAAAAAAAATTAAAAATCACATGTCCAAGATCGATAGACCAAAGTTGTCCACAGTTCTCATGTTAGATACTCTATATATATATATATATATATATATATATAGGATCGCGTTCAGGTGCGAATAGCACGTCTAAGAGAGAACTGAGAGCCATCCAGTGCACGTTACGTGTCCAGATCAACGAATCAATGTAATTTTTAAAAAATGACGTGGTAGCATTTGCGTAAATAATTTAAATTTTGGTGCATATAAATATGTTATATGTGCAAGTAGTTGGTGCTCCTTTGCAAGTAAAAAGTACAGGTAAAATCACTTACAAGTGCACCTACTTTCACCTACAATTGCATGTAATTTTGCATTGTTAATATTCATTGATCTGAGTTCGTTCTGTTTGGCATAGTTTTTGTTCTTGCGGGGTAATTCAACAGGTAATTAGTACCCGTGAAAATCACCCGCAAGATGGCTTGAGGGAGGGGTTGGTGGGATAAGTGCACCTTGTTGATGCTCAGTACAAATGTTACTTGCACCTGTAATACATTTTACCTGCATTTGTAATACATTCTACCTGCATTTGTAATACATTTTACATGCACTGAATACATTTTACTTACACTTCGATGTTCAATTATTTACGAAAATGTCACTGCATTTTTTAAAATAATTAGTGTTTCTCATCCCTTAGACCTGGACACGAAGCGCGCACGGGATGATTTTCAGTTCTCTGCTGGGCACTCGTTCGCATGAGAGTGCGCTGGTGAGCTGTCGTAGGCTCCCAAATTAAAACCTTACAAACGTAGTAGCGAGAGTAAGGATCGATCCCACGAGGAGTAACTAGTTTAACTTTTGTGCTCAAGGAAATAATGGGGGGTTTGGAATATATCGAGAATAAAGATTAAGTAAAAGATAATTTAATAAACAAGAGATTAAATAAATCGAATAAAGCAATGAAAATAATATATCGAAAATACTTATAATAAGGAGCCTTGGTTAGTAAAGATCCACCACCGGAATTCAACACTGATCATTGATTAATAAAGTAATTAATATGCAATTGAATATTTGTCGTGAAATTATTTCATTTCTGTTTTCCCTTAGTTGTAGGTAAATAAAGCACAAGCGGTTTAATTACCCCTAACTACTAAATAACCTAAGACAAGCGCTATAGATTTAATTTAATAGCAGCAATAGGAACTGGGAAAACCGACAAACTAAATAACACAAGCACAAGCGGTTGCATTTAATTTAGGAAAATATTCTTCCCGAGTCCAATTATCACTAAGCCGTCAATAATTAACCCAGTTGCTACTGAATATTAGAATAATTTGTAGCACAACATTATCTAATATAGCAAATAATTATATCAAATAAATAACTAGTAGGCCTCCCTAGCAATTAATTGACACAATTATTTCAAATAACTTAGAAGAATATTTAATACTCAAATGCATAAAAAAATATATAATAAAAATAAATAAATAACCTTACAGCGTAATGAACTCCGGGGCTTCAATTCACTAAACCAAACAAGAAATTAGCCGCGAATGGGCATTGATAACAACCTTAAAGAATATTCGAGAGGGGAAGAATGAACGTGAAATTGTCTCCCAACAACATAATTCATCTTACTATTTATACATGTTTCTAAGCATTTTCCTTCCACTAATTTTCTATGTTTGCGCCATGATGCCGAAATGGTCTTCCGGACAATTGCACGCCATTTCCTCCTTCTTCGCCCTTGAAAATTCTTCACGCCACAAAAAAAAAGAAGACAAAATATATGTTTCATTTGTTGTTCAATGCTTTGGAAATTAAAGTGAATGTGGGCCACTTAAATAATATATAATATATAGATATACATGTATAATGCATATATATATATAGTAGTACATAATATATATGTATATATAAGTATAGTACGTAATATGTATTATATATTATATATATTATATATTATATATTAAATATTATATATATTAAATATTATATATAAAAAGAACTAATTATTAGATAATATTAAATAACTAATGCAAAATTATTATAAAGATGTATCTAAAATATGAGTGTAAAATGTGCCCATCATGCGCCCATATATATATATATATATATATATATATATATATATATATATATAATAGTGCGCTCAGGTGCGAACTGTCCACCCAAAAAAGAAATGAGAACGCATGTCATCCATTTACGTGTCCAGATTCAACGGATGAGAAACACATTTTTAAAAAAAATACACGGTAATATTTTCGTAAATAATTGAATATCAAAGTGCAAGTAAAATGTATTACAAGTGCAAGTAGCACTTTCATATATTGCACATATATGCAAATAAAATGTATTACAAGTACAAGTAAAATGTCAATACTAAGTGCACCTAATGTTATACCTTGTTGCACCTACCTTTATAATTAATTGCACCTAGGTACATAAATATTAACAAGATAAATTACTTGTACTATTAGTGAAAATAGATACACTTGTAAGCGATTTTACTTGCACTTTTTATTTGCAAAGGTGAACTAACTACTTGCACTTGTAACACAATTACTTGCACCAAAGTTTGAATTGTTTACGAAAATGTCACTGTTATTTCTGAACATGTGGACAACGATAAATGGTTCTAATTTCTCTTAGGCAACCGTTCGCATTATAGTGTGCCCATATATATATACTAGTTTTTTACGCGCATTGCGCGATTGGGATAATGCCCAATGCTTTTTTGTTAAATAAGTACTTTAAAGTATATTAAAGCAGAATTATATTGAAAATTTTCATGCATAGATAATTGAAGGTTAAATTTGCGTATTTAAATAGGTAATTCTTCTCCCAAAGGTTGAGTCCCCAACACCAAGGGCCCCCCATACTCCGACTGGATAGAGCATTGTGGGAAGTTGTAAATCACGGTGACTCAATGGTTCAGCAGACAGGATCAAATGCTGATACGCACAAGGAATCTGCCCACTTTGGACATAATTCCCACACTGCCGCTGCCGAGGTTCAAACCTTGGTCTCTTCTCCCAAATACTACCCACTATACCATTGAGCTAAGCCCGTGCGAGTTAAATAGGTAATTCTAAGTTTACAAATGCAAGATAATATAGTCAAGATTGATTATAATTGTCAATAAAATAATTGTATAGGTATAGTTGAAACCAAATACGGGACATAAGGGAGAACAAATAAAAATTAGGGCATAAAATATTAAATATATACTAATATTGTTTGAGGAGATTCCGACATTAGGATTTGTGGTTAAGTTCTGTTAAGACTTTAATATTAGAATTAGATTAATGGTGTAGTTATAATACTATAATAGACTTTAATATTAGAATTAGACTAACGGTGAATTAACGGAAAAGTTAAATGGATAATCATATAATTAAGGATAAATTAGAAAATCTTAAAAGAAAAAAATTAAAACCTGAACAATATGAACCATTCATTTATTTTAATAATTTGGCGGTCATTTTTTCTACCCAATGTTAATAATTAAATAAATTCGCTGGTCAAATCCGCTAGTATAATCCGCTAACGCTAACCGCTAACTGTTGATTGTCAAACAAGGACATTGCGAGGTAGTTCTCACTTCAATTTGTTTTGTGATTTGAATACTCTCTTTGTCACAAAATCTCTCAAGTAGTTAATATGGTTGGCTTTATTAATTATATTTTTTTAATTTTTTCATGGTATTAATAAAATACTTGGTAAATAAATATATAGCATTATTTTGTATTATAACTTTGATATTTAATTAGAAAAATAGTGCACAAAAAAGATAATAGATAATGTAGTGAATATAATCAATTAATGAATTTGAATGTAAAAATTTTTACATTTGAGAAAAATTAAGACAATATAACTAATGAAAATATTTCTTTTAATTAATTTATTAATAATTAATAATGTTTTTTTCACTGAATAAAGACATTGTAAGGACAATGTAGCGAATATAATCAATTAATAAATTTGAATATAAAGA